AGGCAGCGCAGCACCACCCGCCGCACGGCGTCGTCGGTGATGTCGGCGACGTGTGGCAGGCACCCCGTCGACACGCGGCGGTGGATCTGCCCAGCGTCGTTGCAGTCGTCGTACGGGCGCCTGCCGGTGGCCATCTCCAGCACGCACAGGCCGAACGCCCACATGTCCACCGCCTTGTCGTAGTGGTGCTCGTAAATCTCCGGCGCCATGTACTCTGGTGTCCCCACAGCGACGACGGCGGTGCGCGACATCATGCAGAGACCCAAGTCTCCCACCCTCACCTCTCCGCTGTTGCCGTTGATGAAGATGTTGTTGCACTTGATATCACGGTGGGTGATCCCGCGCTGGTGCAGGTAACGCAGCGCCAGCAAGATTTGGAGCGCGAAGCGGATAACAGCACGGGTGCGAAAACGCCGCTCCGGCATCCGCTGCATGTAGTCTGTCAGCGTTCCGCCCGTCATGAGCTCCGTGATGAACACGCAGCATCGCCGCTCACTGTCGATCCACGACGCGTGGCACCGGAGCAGGTTGGGGTGCTGCAGCTGCGAGAGCAAAAACACCTCCTGCGGCAGCTCCGCGTCGGGGCCCGGCGTGCTCGGCATCTCGCACCACGCTACCTCCACGCCATCCTCCGCATCAACAGCGGCGTACACTTCTTTGCAGCTGCCGCAGCCAATGCGCCTCAGTCGCGTGTAGCGTCCGTCCGGACTGTGGACACCGGCGAGTGGCGCCCCCACCATCTCGCCCTCCTTGATAGATTTGTGAGTCGAGCGTTACCGCAGTCAATGAATATGGCTGACAGGAAACGAATCTCGGGATTGGTCTCACGTATCGTTGTCAGTGGTGGCGATTTATTTTTTTTTTTTTGCTGTGCTACCTTCGCCCTTTGTCAGGTGCTGCTGATGTTGTCTGAGTGTGTCCGACTGTTCACGAATGACTGCTGCTGGGCTGAAAATGATCAGCGCAGCAGTCCACCATGCAGGATGTTCCCCAAACAGAGCTGCGCATGAGTGTCACGGGACACACAAAAGAAAGACGCGAACAATATATATATATATATATATATAGAGAGAGAGAGAGATAGGGAAAGAGAGAAACAGGCTTTTCTTTTCATCTCGTTTTCTTTTCGAGAGTGGAGAGTATGCAAAACCCTCCGAGGGCGGCAGACGCAACCGAACATCAACAGACACACCTCAAGTCCTCCTTTTTTTTTCTTTTAACACAGCACACAACCGTATTTTCATTCGTGGCACAAGGCCTACGAGAAGGCGCCATCTCTCCTTGCATTCCCTGTGGTCCCTGGAATGCACCGCCGTATCGCACACGCACACACACACACACAAGTGTACGTATCTGCATGTATGTTTGTCATCGTGTTATCCCCCCTTTTTTTTTCTTTTCCACACACCGTTCCTCGGTCCGTCCGCCCGTAGCTCGCCTTTTCAGGTACTCCACCGCATGACCTCGCTCATGAGCAGCTGCCGCAGTTGGGCGGCGCCGAGCTCGGCGCTGTCGAACTCCCAGAAGAACCGCTCCGCCGCCTCCGTTTCGAACTCCTCGCCGCCGCAGTTGGTGCGCACCTCTTGCAGCCACGGGTGCGCCAGCGCCTCCGCCGCCGTCATGCGCTCCTTGGGGTTGTACGTGAGCAGCTTGAAGAGAAATTCCTTGAACAATGCGTATCGCGCCTCGACGTCCGCGCCGTGGTCGGTGCTTGAGACGCTGTCACCGGCGCCGCTGCTGCCATCCTCGCTGTCACGGCCCTCCAGCGCCTGCAGCACAGCCGCCGCGTACTGCTCGCGCAGTGACGGCTGCACCGCCTCCAGCGGGCGCCGCTCACGGGCGGGGAGGGAGCGCAAATAGCTCATCGCCTCGGGTGAGCGCACGTGCGGCAAGTCACGCGCGATGTCCGGCAGGCCTAACAAATCCGTTATGAGGTTCAACTGGTGGATGTAGTCGCGCCCGGGGAAGAGCGGGCGCCGCGTGAACATCTCCACTGCAAGGCACGCCACACCCCACAGATCGACGGCGCCATCGTAGTCGTCACTCACCAGCAGCAGCTCAGGTGGTCTGTACCAGCGGGTGACTACATAGTGCGTCATCTTCGGCCCCTTTCCCCGTGCCAAGCCGAAGTCGCAAAGTTTTAAATCACACTCCGAGTTTGTCAACAAATTGGCGGGCTTTAAGTCACGGTGGATGACGTTGGCGCTATGGATATACCGCAACGCACACAAGAGCTGATATGTGAAGTACTGGCAATGCGCCTCCGTTAGCTGCACCGAGGATGACTTTAGTATAGTTTGCAGATCGGATGACATGAGCTCCGTCACGACGTAGACGTCGGTGAAGCCCGGGTCGGAGGGGCGGAAGAGGTCCTTGAGGGACAGAATGTTGGGGTGCTTGAGGAACCCCAGCAGCTTCACCTCACGGAGGATGCGCTTCCCATCCACCACGTCGCCAAAGATGTTGCTAATCTTCTTGATGGCGACAGTGTCGCCCGTCGTGCTATCCACCGCACTACACACAATGCCGTAGGCACCACGACCCACCAGACTGCGTACCTCGTACCGTCGAAGGACCTCAACCTTCAACTGTGTGTTAAAAGTGTAAGTTACCTTGCCCTCCGAGTCGGGCGCCGAGACGTGCGTCAGCATTTCTCCCCCGCCAACAGACACACACACACTCACACAGTCGCCGCTCCCTTCACCGCCACGCTTTGTGCTAGATTCCCTTGCCGTGTCAGGAACTCCACGCAGCGGTGCCGCAAGAATAGTACAAAAAATAAAATAAAATAAAAAATAGCGATTGGGGAAAAGTAAAGGACGTGAGAAAGCAAAGAAGAGCAAGTGCATGCGAAAGTCACCGGACGCGAAGCAAAACGGGGTTTTACGCCGCATGCCGCCCCACGCGATCCGCAGCACGCAAAAAAAAAAAGAGTCGCATGTGGGGCTCGCACTACCAATATCACACAGCGAGACTCGGGGAGGACGTGGCGGCCCTCAGTCGCCGCTCCAGTGTGCGCACCTTTGCCTCTGAGGCGCCTAACTCACGGGCCACATCGCGCCGCTCCGCGAGCTCGGCGCGGAGCAGCGCAATGGAGTCGTCTTTCTGCGATAACTGTCGCCGCAGATCCTCCACCTGTGCCTTCAGCGTCGCAGCGTTTGGTCCGTCGCCGTCGGGCATTGGTGTTTTCTCTATCGCCGAGACTCTGTGTGGGTGGAGGGCCACAAGCTCGCGGTACTGCAGCTTCAGGGACTCGAGCTCCAGCGTCAGAGAGTGCAGTGGCTGCTTGGACACCGCCTCGGCCTCTTTCAGTTGCTGCTGGAGCGCAGTGACGGTTGCACGCGCTTCGTAAAGGGCTTCCTGACTAACCGCGAAGGCGTGGGCCACTTCTTCTTGCTGCTTCTGCTGCAATGTCCGCGCCTCCTCCGCCTCCCCCAGGCAGTCCTTGAGATACGCGTTACAGCGGCGCAGCTCCTCCATGTCGTGGTCCCACTCCTCCCGTTCTCGTATCACCGTTGCACGGAACGCATGGGCACCGGTGTCCTCAAGCAACGCTCCAAGCACCAGCGGCAGCACCTTGTCCAGCACCCACTCCGCCGTGGTTGCAATGAAGCAACGCTGCATCGACTCAGCCTCTACGAGCGCACGGCATTCGTCTTGCCAGCGCTCCTCAAGCAAAGCGCACAGGCGGGCGTGCGCCGCACGGCTCTCGAGCAGCTGGTCGATGATTGGGCCACCGCGCTCAATCTCGCGCAGCGCCGCCTCCCTGCTGCCGCCGCCGCACATGGCAGCCGCTGGGGCGCTTATCGCCGGCGGCGGCACGCAACGGCGCTGCTGTTCATGCTGCTGCTGTTGTTGTTGTTGTGGCTGCCGTTCACTCCCGCCGCGCGGCAGCAACTTCTGCAGGACGCGGTACTGCACGGCAACGCCGGCGGGGAGGTCGTCCGCAAAAGCATCCTCCTCCTTCACGGGCCGACGCGTGTGCATCATTGCCCCTCCTTCGCCGCG